GGTCACTAACATCTATCCATGGCTTTGTCTCAAGAGAGGCAAAAGTTTGTTTGGGCTCTGTTGAGGTAATATTTCTCTGTAAAGTCACTAACATCTATCCATGGCTTTGTCTCAAGAGAGGCAAAAGTTTGTTTGGGCTCTGTTGAGGTAATATTTCTCTGTAAAGTGACTAACATCTATCCATGGCTTTGTCTCAAGAGAGGCAAAAGTTTGTTTGGGCTCTGTTGAGGTAATATTTCTCTGTAAAGTCACTAACATCTATCCATGGCTTCGTCTCAAGAGAGGCAAAAGTTTGTTTGGGCTCTGTTGAGGTAATATTTCTCTGTAAAGTGACTAACATCTATCCATGGCTTTGTCTCAAGAGAGGCAAAAGTTTGTTTGGGCTCTGTTGAGGTAATATTTCTCTGTAAAGTCACTAACATCTATCCATGGCTTTGTCTCAAGAGAGGCAAAAGTTTGTTTGGGCTCTGTTGAGGTAATATTTCTCTGTAAAGTCACTAACATCTATCCATGGCTTTGTCTCAAGAGAGGCAAAAGTTTGTTTGGGCTCTGTTGAGGTAATATTTCTCTATAAGGTCACTAATATCTATCCATGGCTTTGTCTCAAGAGAGGCAAAAGTTTGTTTGGGCTCTGTTGAGGTAATATTTCTCTGTAAGGTCACTAATATCTATCCATGGCTTTGTCTCAAGAGAGGCAAAAGTTTGTTTGGGCTCTGTTGAGGTAATATTTCTCTGTAAGGTCACTAATATCTATCCATGGCTTCGTCTCAAGAGAGGCAAAGATAGCGCACCATGCTGTGACCAGTTTTTGATCATACAAGTTCATATTCCAAACAAATGTCACATCCCAAGTAAAGGTTTTCTTAACTAAATAGGACGTATACCAAGTTGAATGTATACCTAAGTGAACATATATCAAGGTACCACTGTGTATGAATCTTTGTTCAGGTATAGACTGTGGTTGGACATTTCATAAAGAGATTATTAATTAATGACAAAATCCAATTTATATTTTCAGAGATAAAGTTATAAAAAATAAGAAATAATCTTTTGATTTTCTGAGTATATAATTTAACACAGACAGCTAAACAATAATAATCATTTGAGCATGTTTGTGGTGCAATAAAACAAAGTCACAACAGCAGTATATGAAGTATTTTGGGAATATATACAATACATTAATATACATGTGATGAACTCTTGTTCTTTGTGAGGTGAATTTCAAATGCACCTGCTTATTCAAGTCCATCGACATTACAATAAATGTCTACAGCAGAATTCTAGAATATTCTCTCACAGTGAAAACAACTGAACATTAGCAGTTGTTAGATATTTTGTAATAGAGCTGAATTATTCCAGTCGTACAGATTAATGAAGCCCATATGCAGTTTTATGTGTAACTGCAACCTAATGCTCCACAGGCAACTTTGTTGGAAGTCTCTCTGTCATAAAGGTTGAATTCCTTTCCTAATGAGTGGATATGCTGTACTCTAACAAATGCCGCGTGACGGCCTGTACAAGTAAATAGATTTTTTTTCAAATTACTAACAAAACATCCATGTATGTCAAAGCCTCCTGTCCTGATATGCAGTAAAGAGATAGATTTCTGCAGAGCTATGTTCAAAACAAGACCTTCACTGCTTAATTACCCGTAAGCACGTAATAGCCAACTGGCATTTGTACCGATGAAAAGGCAGACCACAGGAGGAGCCATGATAGCCAACTGGCATTTGTACCGCTGAAAAGGCAGACCATAGGAGAAGCCATGATAGCCAACTGGCATTTGTACCGCTGAAAAGGCAGATCATAGGAGAAGCCATGATAGCCAACTGGCATTTGTACCACTGAAAAGGCAGATCACAGGAGAAGCCATGATAGCCAACTGGCATTTGTACCATTGAAAAGGCAGATCACAGGAGAAGCCATGATAGCCAACTGGCATTTGTACCGCTGAAAAGGCAGGCCACAGAAGGAGCCATGATGACCAGAGGACACTGGAACCATATTATATGACAGGGTTATTTAATTGGTGGCCCATGGGCCCAATTTGGCCCCCGGAGACCTAGCAAGTGGTCCACAAATCATTGCCAGTTGTACTTTGTCAATGATATTTCTACGCTGGGGCTCGAGCCTCTTTGGCCCATGACGATCCTGAGTTTCAAAATGTTGGCCCCCAAAGGAACTTAGTTCAATAGCTCTGATATGCTTGGAAGGAAGTTATATGAGATAAGGCATCATTACAATTTTCTTTCATTTTATGAAGCTTTTGCAGTGATTTTCTACATTATGTATCAGTTAAGGGTTTGCTAAAATCAGAGGTGATGGTCTGAAAGGTGGAGATATCATAGCCTAGCATACAACCACAAATTTGCCAACCACCCATTTTAGTGTGAAAGCAGAAGAATATCTCAGTCAGAAAAAGCACAAAATGTGAAATTTCGTTTCTTGGATAAAGCAACGACAATAAAAGTGAGCTTTATCCATGCTCACATTTAGTTTATCTCATCACAGTGAATAAAGCAGATGTTTCCCACACACACAATCCCACTCACACACACAATCATAAACACACACAATCATACACACACACAATCATACACATACAATCATACACAAACAATCATACACACACAAACATACACACACACACACACACACACACACAATCATACACACACAATGACACATGCACTCACACGCACACACACACAATCATACATACACACAATCATACACACACAATTATACACATACAGTCATACACACACAATTATACACACATACAATTACACACACACACAATTAAACACACACACAAGCATATACACACACAATCAAATACACACACACACAATCGTACTCACATGCATGTGCATATATTTTTAAAAAAATGCTGAAAGCAAATATCCAACAATAATTTGAGGACACATATTATTGACATGATTTGCAAACAATTTTTATCACTTAAAAAAAAAAAAAAAATGCAACAAATCAACACAACCAAGCCACATTTAGAAATCTGGCATATCTTGGATCTCACAATAAAATCTTTGCGGTGGTTTGTTATCTTTATAAGATGCATCTGATTGCAGATGGCTTGTTTATATTGAGAGTGAAAAATTTTTTTTATTAATGATACTATGATCTTGTTGTGTGCTAAATGAGTTACCACTAGTCAGCACACTACCAGGTGTCTAGCAGGCACCCTTCCGCTTCCTCTCTTAGAAACAGAAATCAACGACGATGACACCGTCATACATTTTAACAGGATACATGACACAAATGCAGAGACGTAGTTATTGATCACAGTTGACATGCGCACATAATTCATTTCTCCTCACTCGCTCTCTTGCTCAATTTGTAGCGACCTCTCCTTGACCACTACAGCTACAGGGTCCCACACTCTGGACGTGCCGTACAGCTGAAAAGGACAAATTCTCCCATTCACTGGACCTTGATATTATTTCAGCATATAACAAGGCTGACTGGAGAGGGACTTCCCTTGCCGTACTCCGAAAACACACAGCTGTCGTCAGCTTGTCGAAGGGCTCCAATGACCAAAAGGACTTCTACCATAAGTCCCCTCTAGCCCACAGCTCTCGTCGGCACCACTCTCCCCTGTTCTGGTTCACTAGTGGTCCTCCTACGTCTCACTACGTCGCCACTCAGAACAGGTACTACTGGAGCCTTCCGTCCCCCTGGATTTACTTCACCAGCGGGATATACCTTCGACCAGTACCGCAACCTCAACAATTACTCAGACCTAAATGCCTGATAGTCGTACAGTATTCTTGTCTGTTAGACTCGAGAGAGATATCACGGACCCTGACTTGGTCTCTGACTCTCTCTTTCTCTCTCTCTCTTCTCTCTTCTCTCTCAACTGCTCCTGGACTGACTACTGAACTCCCAATTTATCCCCCTCAAATCCGTGTAGGTGGATGATGTTTACATGAGAGACACGCTCGTATGGGCGTTCTCATGAATCATGTTCCTGTGGGTGTTCTCGAGACTCACGCTCATGTGGGCGTTCTCGAGGATCACGCTTATGTGTGTGGCTGATGTTACCAGAGAATCACACTGTCACTTAATTCACACTTTCTCTGTTTATCTCGTTAGCCATGCTTTCAGCCCCCACACAGTAACCCACGCGTCCACTGTCTCGTGGCACTACAGAATTACTCTCATACCACTGTCCCTTCACACAATATCACACTTTACCCAAATCAGCGCGCAACATCATATCCTCCCCTCTCCCAACTGACAACTAACTGAAATAAGTGAAGTTGTCAGTTGTTGAGTTAGAAGCCTTGTTGCGGGCTGATTTCATAATTATAATAATCATTGGACATGTGATATCATAACATATCATAACATTTTGTGTAGTTAACTACAGTATCATTGTATATATCAATACAAGCATACACATGGATATTTATCTCTAATTTTAACAACTATGTGTGTTTGACAGTGTAAAGCGGCCTTCATACAGGTAGTGGGCACTCTTTAACACTGCGCGGTAAACCGTCACAGCTCCCCTTTTCCCGATGCTGTATTCTGTGCTAATTTTCTGCAGGCATACATGACCGGATGTAACTAGTGGTAACTCATTTAGTACACAACAGATCTGTGGAGCATTTGAGTACTCCTCTTTTTGTTCTATTTCTTCTCTGGAACTACTCATGTGTTTGGGCCCACCGACATCATGATTGGCCATTCATTGATGCGTATTAACCTTTCACATGTGCGGCTTTCTCTTACAGGAGTATTAGGTAGAATTCACTCTCTCGTGGGACCTAGGCTGAGGCTGTCCAATGGGGGGTTGGAGTTAGGGCCAGTTGTAGATGTTATGGGGTCATTAAAAGTGGCGGTAACATCCTGTAGCATGGTCTTCATGCATGAAAATAAATTGAATTTGTACTACGCAAATGCTTCACATAAAGTTGTCATTTTGATATGCATAAAAGATAACTTTGTTGAAAACATAATTCGTACAAGTATTGCTAGCGAGCTCTGCGTATTTTAAAAACAAACACACCACTCAACACAAAATAAATTGATGACATAATAAATAAAATAATGTAACCTAAGCCAATCTGGCAATTAACTTTTTCAAAAATATCCAGCACAAAACCGCCCAGGGGTGTGGCCAGAGCTTGTGGTAGAACCAGTGATTGATGCCAAACAGCAATATCCTTGGCCTTGTCTGAATCTTCTGCAAGCACATCCATGACCAGGGCAAAATCAACAGACTGGAATGCTCCAAAACCTAAACCTTGGTAATAAAGATTTTAAAATTGCAGTTATAGCCTGTTTGAACACAGGAATCTGGTACCTGGACATATGTCACTTATAAACTGAAATTGATGAAAACAAATGTTCTTAAACAATTACTAGCCCGTCTCTCTAGCATAGTTGGCCACATTTCTCCCAGATTTACCATATTTAAAATGGAATCAAGGCCGAAGGGTTGCGATATCTATAATACCAAGCCAAAGGGTTAACAACTCATGGCTTCTGGATACTAAAACAAACAAACAATTACTATGATAATCTCTTGCCTCCAAGCAAGAAATGTTTCTTATCTTTCTTTGTACACATTCACACATCAGCACTGATATATTTAAATGAAGAAATGTTCACTTCTAAAAGTGTATCCAAGATCTAGAAGAAAGGTTTGTCAAGTTCATTGATCACATGAAGAGACAGAAGACTCTGGGACAGATGTTGTGCAACACATCAGACAATAGAAACGCTCAAAGCTGTAGGCACTCCTAAACTAAAGTGCACTCCTAAACTAAAGTGCACTCCTAAACTAAAGTGTACTCCTAAACTAAAGTGCACTCCTAAACTAAAGTGCACTCCTAAACTAAAGTGCACTCCTAAACTAAAGTGCACTCCTAAACTAAAGTGTACTCCTAAACTAAAGTGCACTCCTAAACTAAAGTGCACTCCTAAACTAAAGTGCACTCCTAAACTAAAGTGCACTCCTAAACTAAAGCCGTGGTGTGGAGAGAATGTGGCAGCTGAGAGTCATGCAACAGAAAATCTTGACTGTTTCTGTTGCAGGACACAGTAATAAACAATTGTTTGGGAAGAGCTAAAAGTGCAGCAATCTATGCACATAGAAGACAGAAACAACAATATCCGTTGGTCATGTTCTGAGAAGAGAGGCAGTATGTACAAACATTCAGAAACATTACAGCAATGACAATGCAGTCAAGTGTACAAACATTCAGAAACATTACAGCAATGCCAACACAGAGTAAAGTGTACAAAAATTCACAAACATTACAGCAATGACAACACAGAGTAAAGTGTACAAACATTCAGAAACATTACAGCAACAACAGCTCAGTCAAGTGTACAAACATTCAGAAACATTTCAGCAATGACAACACAGAGTAATGTGTACAAACATTCAGAAACATTACAGCAATGACCAAACAGTAAAGTGTACAAATGTTCAGAAATATTACAGCAACGACAACACAGTCAAGTGTACAAACATTCAGAAACATTACAGCAATGACAACACAGAGTAAAGTGTACACACACATTCAGAAACATGACAGCAATGACAACACAGAGTCAAGTGTACAAACATTCAGAAACATTACAGCAATGACAACACAGAGTAAGTGTACAAACATTCAGAAACATTACAGCAATGACAACACAGAGTAAAGTGTACAAACATTCAGTAACATTACAGCAACGACCAAACAGTAAAGTGTACAAACATTCAGTAACATTACAGCAATGACCAAACAGTAAAGTGTACAAACATTCAGAAACATTACAGCAATAACAACGCAGTCAAGTGTACAAACATTCAGAAACATTACAGCAATGACAACACAGAGTAATGTGTACAAACATTCACAAAACATCACAGCAATGACAACACAGTCAAGTGTACACACATTCAGAAACATTACAGCAACAAAAACACAGTCAAGTGTACAAACATTCACAAACATTACAGCAATGACAACACAGAGTCAAGTGTACAAACATTCAGAAACATTAGGCAATGACAACACAGAGTAAAGTGTACACACACATTCAGAAACATGACAGCAATGACAACACAGAGTCAAGTGTACAAACATTCAGAAACATTACAGCAACGACAACACAGAGTCAAGTGTACAAACATTCAGAAACATTACAGCAACGACAACACAGAGTCAAGTGTACAAACATTCAGAAACATTACAGCAACGACAACACAGAGTAAAGTGTACAAACATTACAGCAACGACAACACAGAGTCAAATGTACAAACATTACAGCAACGACAACACAGAGTCAAGTGTACAAACATTACAGCAACGACAACACAGAGTCAAGTGTACAAACATTACAGCAACGACAACACAGAGTCAAGTGTACAAACCTATGATAAATGCCATTAATGCAGCAACAACATAGGCGTAGCTGCCTGATAGGAAAGCGAAGGTGAATGATCCGACTCCCATGATGAACGCTGGCACAAGACACAAAAATATGTGTGAGGTTTGGACAAAGTATTTCAATGTCTGTCAAATGGTGCTAGTTATGAGCCATAACTAGGGGGCAACTGCAGTTGAGGAGTTAATGATAACTACAGCTAAATACAACATCAAATGTGACTAGACAGCTCCACAGAGGCAATAGAAAAAACATACACAAATACAGCTGAACATTTCAACCAACATCTTTATGAATGAAGTACTAAATAGAATTCACACTTTGACAGGAAAACTCAGTGGACAAGTCAACAAAGCTTTAAAAAAAACAAGGGTCAACATGAAACAAAGAAATATGTAATTGTGGAAAATATCAATATAAAGGGCTTTATGTTATGTTTTAGCCCTTCATATTCATATAAAGGCCTATAATATTTTGTGTTTGCCCTTCTTCTTAATATTTTTCCACATAACCTATTTCTTGGTTTCATATTGACCCTTGGTTTTATGAAAGCTCTGTTGTCTTGTTCACTGATTTCTCCTGTCACAGGCTGTGTTCTATTTAGTACTCCATTCATAAAGATTCTGAATGAAATGTTCAGGTGTGTTTGTGCATTTCTTTCCATTCCCTCTGTTGAATTTTCTAGTCACACTTGATGCTGTATTGAGCACTTCCAGTGATGGACCAGTTTTATGCTGTATTGAGCACTTCCAGTTATGGACCAGTTTTATGCTGTATTGAGCACTTCCAGTGATGGACCAGTGTGATGCTGTATTGAGCACTTCCAGTTATGGACCAGTTTTATGCTGTACTGAGCACTTCCAGTGATGGACCAGTTTGATGCTGTATTGAGCACTTCCAGTTATGGACCAGTTTTAAGCTGTACTGAGCACTTCCAGTTATGGACCAGTTTGATGCTGTATTGAGCACTTCCAGTTATGGACCAGTTTGATGCTGTACTGAGCACTTTCAGTTATGGACCAGTTTTATGCTGTACTGAGCACTTCCAGTTATGGACCAGTTTTATGCTGTATTGAGCACTTCCAGTTTTGGACCAGTTTGATACTGTATTGAACACTTCCAGTTATGGACCAATTTAATGCTGTATTGAGCACTTCCAGTTATGGACCAGTTTTATGCTGTATTGAGCACTTCCAGTTATTTACCAGTTTTATGCTGTATTGAGCACTGCCTGTTATGGACCAGTTTAATGCTGTATTGAGCACTTCCTGTTATGGACCAGTATTATGAACTGTTTAGATCTTGCAGAATGTCTGCATTTGTTCTTTTTATGACTCATGGTCATAATCATCATCATCATCATCATCATCTCCATTATCATCATCTTCTTGTTCATTGTCAGATGTTTTAGACTTTCATGTCTCCCCACAGACCTCAGCCCCTTTGTGTTCTCAATCAATTCTAATTAATGTTTTCCTCCAAGCCACTATTTTGATAGTCATGTATTATTTGTCAGTTTGTCTCTGCTTCCTCTACAACAAGCTCTCTCCAACCATAAGAAGCTTGTCCACTTGCTCTTATCATCACATGACCATAAAATACTGTTTTTCCCTGTCAAATAATTGTGTGATGCCAGCATCAAGAGCATACAACATGAAAATTGAAACACCAAGAGGCAGGGGAAGACAAAGAAGAAGATGGATTGAAGGAGTCACGGACAACTTGAGACTTCATAACATCACGGCATATGAAGCGACTGAGCGCGCCCTGGCTCGGTTGCCGATCATCTGATAGACTGCGACGCCTAGCGGCACAAGCAGATTTTGACAAAGGAAGAAGAAATAATTGTGTGTCATGTTTTACTGTCTTTTAGGAAATTACTGTTAGTAAATCTGGCAACTCAAGGTATTCACAACATGTACATCTGTGCTGCCACTAAACTCTTCCTAATTTATTCATTCATGTTGCAAGTTTCCCCGTCTGATGATCATGGTTCTAAGAATGTTTCATTTTTGCAGAAACTTCCAAAGAATACGTTCACAAAAATGCTCTCAGAAAATACAACAACAGATATCACACAGACTTCTTGATGTTATCATACCAGCAATAGTGACGATGACCTTTCGATATCCAGTTTTGTCTGAGATGATCCCAAATACAACAGAACTGCAAACAGAATTAGAACAATCCATTTCAAAACCAAAGATAACTCTCATTACATGTCTATTGATCAGTTCTGATATCTCTCCTTATAACTTGACTTTGTCTTTGACTCTACTTCCTGCTACCATAATGGATTTGGGGTGATGGTGGTATGGAGGTGGGGGAAGGGTGGAAAGGGTAACTTACTCCTTCCAATGCACTGTATAAGTTGTTCTCAATTTCTCTAAAGTTGTTCTTGATGTTATGAGTTTTTTTTTTTGTGTGTGTGGGTATTACAGACACCTGCTTGTTTCAGAGTAAACATAAACTGTAATTTATCTCCTCTTGATTCCAGTTAATTAGACATAGACAGTCAATAATTTTTAGACATATGAGAACTTGGTTACAACTGGCAAGATTGAGGGAAAGATAGCAAGAGGAAGGCAGAGAGATAAATACCTGGATGGCCTGGCCAGATGGGTGGAGCAAGACAAAATCATGACAGCCTATGCTTACCGGCACGGCGCACAATGATGGTAATGCTCCTAGTCAAATAAGATGGTTGTGAAATCATCAAGAACACAGCCATACCTCAATGATGCAGCAAACAGCAGTGGTAGCAACAATAGTGCCACAGAGGTGGCAGCACTCCAGCAGTAAGGAAGTGGGATCATGTCATTGAGCCAGTACTCCAAGAACCTGGTACAAAAAGTGAAAGTAAAGCTCCCTTTTCCAAACCTTTAGGCATATAGGGCTTGACTTCAATTTTATAGATCAATCGGCACGAGATGGGTGATGTGGTCAGCATCATGCCGGCCGCCTTTACTTCCTGGGACTGCACCCTGAACCCACTCAAGGCTGGGTCGACCTGGGAGCCAAGGTCATTTTTTTTTAAATCCTCGGCGTGCGTCTAGCCGCTCCGCCGCGGCGACTCCCTCAAAAACCTGGACAAATGCATAAATCATCAACCATTGACAAGCTAGACACATATCTCAGACAACCAATAAAGACCTAGACACACGCAACAGACAATCAATAAAGACCTAGACACATGTATCAGACATTCATTGACAAGGTAGGCATATGTTTCAGACAATCACCAAGGACCTAGACACATGCATTACACAAACTGAAAATTTTACTCAGTGTTTTTCAGAGCTGTTCATTGTGTTTTCAGACCTGCCTGATACTTTATATCAGTCATTCATACTGTAGTTATTTATAAGTCAGTCATGGTCCTCATGTTTTGTTTCTGTTTCATTTTATCCACTTCAGGCAATGAAGCATAAACACAGACTTAGATGGTTCTCCCTCACCCCCCCCCCCTCCCCCAGTCAATCTACGGTAATGTTTGCAAGATAAATATGTCATTGTTTGTATGGTCAACAATACTACATTGTTCACTTCCAATGTATGGTCAACAATACTACATTGTTCACCCCCAATTTATGGTCAACAATACTACATTGTTCACCTCCAATTTATGGTCAACAATACTACATTGTTCACCTCCAATGTATGGTCAACAATACTACATTGTTCACCTCCAATGTATGGTCAACAATACTACATTGTTCACCTCCAATGTATGGTCAACAATACTACATTGTTCACCCCCAATTTATGGTCAACAATACTACATTGTTCACCCCCAATTTATGGTCAACAATACTACATTGTTCACCTCCAATGTATGGTCAACAATACTACATTGTTCACCCCCAAATTATGATCAACAATACTACATTGTTCACCTCCAATTTATGATCAACAATACTACATTGTTCACCTCCAATTTATGGTCAACAATACTACATTGTTCACCCCCAATTTATGGTCAACAATACTACACTGTTCACCCCCAATTTATGGTCAACAATACTACATTGTTCACCTCCAATGTATGGTCAACAATACTACATTGTTCACCCCCAATTTATGATCAACAATACTACATTGTTCACCTCCAATTTATGATCAACAATACTACATTGTTCACCCCCAATTTATGGTCAACAATACTACACTGTTCACCCCCAATTTATGGTCAACAATACTACATTGTTCACCTCCAATGTATGGTCAACAATACTACATTGTTCATCCCCAATTTATGATCAACAATACTACATTGTTCACCTCCAATTTATGATCAACAATACTACATTGTTCACCTCCAATGTATGGTCAACAATACTACATTGTTCACCACCAATTTATGGTCAACAATACTACATTGTTCACCTCCAATTTATGGTTAACAATACTACATTGTTCACCTCCAATGTATGGTCAACAATACTACATTGTTCACCTCCAATGTATGGTCAACAATACTACATTGTTCACCTCCAATGTATGGTCAACAATACTACATTGTTCACCCCCAATTTATGGTCAACAATACTACATTGTTCACCCCCAATTTATGGTCAACAATACTACAATGTTCACCTCCAATGTATGGTCAACAATACTACATTGTTCACCCCCAATTTATGATCAACAATACTACATTGTTCACCTCCAATTTATGATCAACAATACTACATTGTTCACCTCCAATTTATGGTCAACAATACTACATTGTTCACCCCCAATTTATGGTCAACAATACTACACTGTTCACCCCCAATTTATGGTCAACAATACTACATTGTTCACCTCCAATGTATGGTCAACAATACTACATTGTTCACCCCCAATTTATGATCAACAATACTACATTGTTCACCTCCAATTTATGATCAACAATACTACATTGTTCACCCCCAATTTATGGTCAACAATACTACACTGTTCACCCCCAATTTATGGTCAACAATACTATATTGTTCACCTCTAATGTATGGTCAACAATACTACATTGTTCACCCCCAATTTATGATCAACAATACTACATTGTTCACCTCCAATTTATTATCAACAATACTACATTGTTCACCTCCAATGTATGGTCAACAATACTACATTGTTCACCCCCAATTTATGGTCAACAATACTACATTGTTCACCTCCAATTTATGGTCAACAATACTACATTGTTCACCTCCAATGTATGGTCAAAAATACTACATTGTTCACCTCCAATGTATGGTCAACAATACTACATTGTTCACCTCCTATGCATGGTCAACAATACTACACTGTTCACCTCCAATTTATGGTCAACAATACTACACTGTTCACCTCCAATGTATGGTCAACAATACTACATTGTTCACCTCCAATGTATGGTCAACAATACTACACTGTTCACATCCAATGTGTGGTCAACAATTCTACACTGTTCACCTCCAATGTATGGTCAACAATACTACATTGTTCACCTCCATTGTATGGTCAACAATACTACATTGTTCACCTCCAATGTATTGTCAACAATACTACACTGTTCACCTCCAATGTATGGTCAACAATACTACACTATTCACCTCCAATTTATGGTCAACAATACTACATTGTTCACCTCCAATGTATGGTCAACAATACTACACTGTTCACCTCCAATGTATGGTCAACAATACTACATTGTTCACCCCCAATTTATGGTCAACAATACTACATTGTTCACCTCCAATGTATGGTCAACAATACTACATTGTTCACCTTTAATTTATGGTCAACAATACTACATTGTTCACCTCCAATTTATGGTCAACAATACTACATTGTTCACCCCCAATTTATGGTCAACAATACTACATTGTTCACCTCCAATTTATGGTCAACAATACTACACTGTTCACCTCCAATGTATGGTCAACAATACTACATTGTTCACCTTTAATTTATGGTCAACAATACTACATTGTTCACCTCCAATTTATGGTCAACAATACTACATTGTTCACCTCCAATTTATGGTCAACAATACTACATTGTTCACCTCCAATGTATGGTCAACAATACTACACTGTTCACCTCCAATTTATGGTCAACAATACTACACTGTTCACCTCCAATTTATGGTCAACAATACTACATTGTTCACCTCCAATTTATGGTCAACAATACTACATTGTTCACCTCCAATTTATGGTCAACAATACTACACTGTTCACCTCCAATTTATGGTCAACAATACTACACTGTTCACCTCCAATGTATGGTCAACAATACTACATTGTTCACCCCCAATTTATGGTCAACAATACTACACTGTTCACCTCCAATTTATGGTCAACAATACTACATTGTTCACCTCCAATGTATGGTCAACAATACTACACTGTTCACCTCCAATTTATGGTCAACAATACTACATTGTTCACCTCCAATTTATGGTCAACAATACTACATTGTTCACCTCCAATGTATGGTCAACAATACTACATTGTTCACCTCCAATGTATGGTCAACAATACTACATTGTTCACCTCCAATGTATGGTCAACAATACTACATTGTTCACCTCCAATTTATGATCAACAATACTACATTGTTCACCTCCAATGTATGGTCAACAATACTACATTGTTCACCACCAATTTATGGTCAACAATACTACATTGTTCACCTCCAATTTATGGTCAACAATACTACATTGTTCACCTCCAATGTATGGTCAACAATACTACATTGTTCACCTCCAATGTATGGTCAACAATACTACATTGTTCACCTCCAATGTATGGTCAACAATACTACATTGTTCACCCCCAATTTATGGTCAACAATACTACATTGTTCACCCCCAATTTATGGTCAACAATACTACATTGTTCACCTCCAATGTATGGTCAACAATACTACATTGTTCACCCCCAATTTATGATCAACAATACTACATTGTTCACCACCAATGTATGGTCAACAATACTACACTGTTCACCTCCAATATATGGTCAACAATACTACATTGTTTACCTCCAATTTATGGTCAACAATACTACACTGTTCACCTCCAATGTATGGTCAACAATACTACATTGTTCACCTCCAATGTATGGTCAACAATACTACACTGTTCACCTCCAATTTATGGTCAACAATACTACACTGTTCACCTCCAATTTATGGTCAACAATACTACATTGTTCACCTCCAATTTATGGTCAACAATACTACATTGTTCACCTCCAATTTATGGTCAACAATACTACATTGTTCACCTCCAATGTATGGTCAACAATACTACATTGTTCACCTCCAATGTATGGTCAACAAGACTACATTGTTCACCTCCAATGTATGGTCAACAATACTACATTGTTCACCTCCAATTTATGGTCAACAATACTACATTGTTCACCTCCAATGTATGGTCAACAATACTACATTGTTCGCCTCCAATGTATGGTCAACAATACTACATTGTTCACTCCCAATTTCCACCTCATTCATAAAATTGCAAATCTCAGCACTTTTTCATCACCTGACTTGTAAAAGTGCATGTTCTCCATCATAATTTTTATATTTTATTATTTCCCTTACAGACAAACCATGACATAGGAAATTAAAATATTTTGTTTTGTGATTCTGTGCTGAGCATAACACTGTGCTTTGATTTGTTTACCCTTCAAGTGTAGCACAGCAGCTAGAAATACCAGTCTCAGAATCTTTTATCTATCTATCTTCTTTTATCCCACCAGGAAATCACAAAGCGATAAACACCCGATGACACAAAGTGCCACTATGTGGATCAGGATCACCCATTGAGAGGTCCCAGAAACTGCGTTCAGCCATTAGACCATATTTATGGCTAGGCTATTTTGCGGCCCCTGGCAAGAGCCAGAAAAGGGCTTCAAATAATGAAAAATTGCATCCCACAAAGGAATGACAAAGTATGATGTTGGGTTCAAAGAGCACTAGACAGATGTAAAGGAACACCAGTCTCAGAATCTTGGGTTAAAAGAGCACTAGACGGATGTGAAGAAACACCAGTCTCAGAATCTTGGGTTCAAAGAGCACTAGACGGATGAGAAGAAACACCAGTCTCAGAATCTTGGGTTCAAAGAACACTAGGTGGATGTGAAGAAACACCAGTCTCAGAATCTTGGGTTCAAAGAGCACTAGACGGATGTGAAGAAACACCAGTCTCAGAATCTTGGGTTCAAAGAGCACTGGACGGATGTGCAAGAACACCAGTCTCAGAATCTTAGATTCAAAGAGCACTAGACGGATATGAAGAAACACCAGTCTCAGAATCTTGGTTTCAAAGAGCACTAGACGGATGTGAAGAAACACCAGTCTCAGAATCTTGGGTTCAAAGAGCACTAGACGGATGTGAAGAAACACCAGTCTCAGAATCTTGGGTTCAAAGAGCACTGGACGGATGTGCAAGAACACCAGTCTCAGAATCTTGGGTTCAAAGAGCACTAGACGGATGTGAAGAAACACCAGTCTCAGAATCTTGGGTTCAAAGAGCACTAGACGGATGTGAAGAAACACCAGTCTCAGAATCTTGGGTTCAAAGAGCACTAGACGGATGTGCAAGAACACCAGTCTCAGAATCTTGGTTTCAAAGAGCACTAGACGGATGTGAAGAAAAACTAACTGGTTCTCAGCTTAAAATGAGCATCAGAAAATTTTCTTTTAAAAAAAAAGGTGGCCAACATAATGTTGATAACGTCACCAACTGAGCGCTGATTACTCCATATAAATATGTGTAGTAGACTATCAAATACCTGAGGGAAGCTGGTGGAACCAGGCTCTACTATTTTTGTTGATTTGGTGTTCGGTTGAATTATTTACCTTCAGTTTGGTCACTCACTGTGTGGGTTCTAAGGCTCCATTGTTTGGGTTGATAGACCTGCTGCTTCTGTAACAAGCATGTTGTAAAAATCTGCTAGTTAAGGGGGTTTCCTTCTAAATCAGAGTGCATATGTTTGTGAGGCACAGAACTTTCAGTCTGTATACAAGTAAGCCAGATCTCTAAAATGGAGAAGCATTCAAAAACTCAAGTTCTGGAACAAAACTAAAATTGAAAGTGGATGAACAACCAGAACTTTCTCCCTGAGCCAACCGCCACTGAACACGAAGAAGAAGAGAGATGTCTGGTAAAGGACCATGTTTCTACTCACCCAGTAATGGTGGCAACTCCTTGCTGCATCAAAAATCTGGTAATGAACACCCATCTAAAGTCATGCTCTGAAAAAGATGATTTTTTGAGGAATCTATGAAACAATACAATGATTGTTTGACTGATTTACTAATTCAAGGTATAAAACATTATCACATCAAAACTGAACAAATCAGACAACTGACGTCTCTCTTTAACTAGTAATTAATGACCTGTTGTGTTAATAAATGTAGAATTATATTGTCGTAATTACAGTGATCTGCCGTATATATATATATATATATATATATATATATATATATATATATATATATATATATATATATATATATATATATATATATATATATATATATATATATATATATATATATATATATATATATATATATATATAGTGATCTCCCCCTACATAGGTTGAAAAAATATTAGATATTTGAGTGATCTCCCCATTGTGGTTGATAAAAGATTATTATATTTATAGTGATTCCCCCCCAAACTCCCCATATATTAAGGTCCCTTTTCCATGCATTCAGGCGTACTGGGAATAAAGGGCTAGACCTATATTTTTATAAACCAACTGGCACTTGGTGGGTGATGTGGTCAGCATCACACTGGCCGTCTTAACTTCTCGGGACTGCACCTGGTACCCACTTAAGGCTGGTTCACCCTGGGAGTCGTCATTTTTTTAAAAAGTCAGGACGCGAACCTACAACCTTCTAATCTGCAGGCGGGTGTCTATCCCCCAATGCCATGGCAACTCTCTCCCCCATATTACAAGATAAAATATTATATATTTCCAGTAATCTGCCCCTATATTGGCAGATGAAGTATTTACTCCTCCCCCCATATTGGTGGACAAATTATGAGATATTTGAAGTGATTTCCTCCATATTGGCACACAAAGTATGAGATATTTATAGTGATTTCTCCCTATATTGGTGGACAAAGTAGTGATTTTCCCCTATATTGGTGGAGAAAGTATGAAATATGTATAGTGATTTTCCCCTATATTGGTGGGAAAAATATTAGATACTTGCAGTAATCTGCTTCTATATTTGTGAACAAAACAGCAGTTGAACAAACCTTTCAGAGGTGCCCAGAATCCAATGAAGATAAGCCTGCAGCCTGAGGAAATGATTACATTTAATTTTTTTAGTCAAAACAGTGTAGGCATAAACAGCAGTTTATAACAACAAAGTTTGATTGATACAATATAATCTTCATACATATTACTGTCATATTTGTCAACATCAGTAAATAACACAATAAAATAAAAACAGCTAACAAATTTATTATATGACCAATATCATAAATAATAACAAAATACCCTGAATATACATTTATGTTAATAGTTGATGACGGCAGACATTTTAATATACCCTTTTTATTAGCAATATAAAATTAATGTCGGATACAGGCTTGATACCAGAGTCAGGTATCAGATTTTGACTTGATATCAAATTTAGACATCGCATCATTTATAGACTGACTGTAGGTACTGTTCACTTCAAATATAAAGTTGATATCCGACAGGTTTGACATAAGTTGTCACTGCTCCTTCCGTACATTCATCGAAGATATTCTAGCCCTAGTGTTTTCTGTGACAGCCTTTGCCTTTACACAATTTCTTCTAAGTTTATCTGAAGATGCAATTGTGTTGTGCCCATTTACAACACAGCCACAATATATGCGCCTCTCTGAAACATCTTACTTCTGCAGGCATTTGTCGACCAGGTTAACCTTCTTAGTTTAATTCGTGGGACATTGCTGTCTCATTATTGTATGGTCATCTTTGTTTCCTGGGTCACAGGTGGTTTTCCACATCAGGCCGGACCAGAGAAGCCACATAATGCTGATCCACCCTCAAGAGAAAGCAGGGGCAGAACATGAACATTTCCTGCAATCCAAGGAGGCTTCCATACAAACAGAGCCAATACACAGTGCTCTGGTACTAGGCTCACTCAAAGAATCATCACGTCCTGCTCATGACTGTTTAATCTCACTTTCATATATTGAACATCTCATTCATTCATCATGGGCTAAATCTTTAGAAGCCAACATGGGATTTGGATTACCCACACAAAATGAGTTCTTTGCTTCTTTTGCATGTTTAACTTTTTCCGTGTCCTCTATAGTTTCCTATGACATTTGCCACATAGATTTCTGCTGTGTGGCAGAAAACAGACTGTTGGGTCTGTTTCATTTTCTCCCATGTCATAGTTTTGAACTCTGAATCTCTAGGGGCTATCAGCTCCGAGAATCCCTTACAGTTTTCTTCTTCTGACACCTTCAGACTTCAGTGTGAATATGTTTAAATAAAACAGCTGTCAGTTTGAGGTTGTTGACCGTCAATGACTTTATAAAGACACATGGCTCATGTTGTAGGCCGGTGACAGACAAATCTACCCTAAACACACCAAACACAAACATTCTCAGAGCATACACAAATCTACCCTAAACACACCAAACACAAACACTCTCAGAGCACACACAGATCTAACCTAAACACACCGAACACAAACACTCGCAGAGCATACACAGATCTACCCTAAACACAAAGAACATGAACACTCTCAGAGCACACACAGATCTACCCTAAACACACCAAACACACACATTCTCAGAGCACACACAGATCTACCCTAAACACACCAAACACGAACACTCTCAGAGCACACACAGATCTACCCTAAACACACCAAACACGAACACTCTCAGAGCACACACAGATCTACCCTAAACACACCAAACACGAACACTCTCAGAGCACACACAGATCTACCCTAAACACACCAAACACGAACACTCTCAGAGCACACACAGATCTACCCTAAACACACTGAACACGAACACTCTTAGAGCACACACAACAATCTTTTATGTACAAGCACCATATAAGATGTATAAGTTTACCTCAGACGCTATGGGAATCCCCCCCCCCCCCCCCCATTTTAAACTAAGGCCTTGAGGGCTTTACAAAAAAAAAACCATTCATTCTTTCTCACGTTCCCATGGATAGTACACGGGTCTGAACTCACATAGCTTCAGTACAGCTCATACCACTGCCGCTGGACTCTACATGAAGCTTGTGCAGCGTCCACAAAGTTTGTGGCCTAGTGTGTGTGGGCAGATAATACCACAACAACCATAGCTATCTGACTAATGGTAATCTACAGCATCAAGCTACCCACATAACAACGCTACAAAATCCTTCGAACGGCGTACAACACACAAATACTGCGACAGTCTAACCCAACACATAAACTACTGATCCCTACAACTCTAAGCAACACAATACTATATAAGTGTCAAACTAGCAGAAGTCACAGTTCGAATTGTCTTCCCCAATATCTTCCTGTGCATTGGCTTTATTATACCTTTACAGTTCAGCTCCTGATTTTGGGGGACTCATGAATTCCCCCAAGCAAACAACTCAGTCTCATGAATTATATGGTCGTCCATTTGTCTGGCTGAACTCCAGGGTCATGACTCAGTCACTTAGCACAGATGTGAAAATTCACCACTATCATTCCCTTCATCACATACCTGCACTAGACTGACACTGACATTTTCACAGATTTTGTCCTCAAAATTAATGGGTGGCAGCCAGAATAATTTTCTCTATTCTGCATATGTTGGACACTCTTGCAGCAAATTTTCAGCCATCATTATGATGACTGTAGTTCTTTGTTTCAGTATGGTTTGTAATTTTTCCTCGCACCTCTTGGAATGCATTCAAATGCTGTCTGCAGTATTTGTTGAGACTTGCCACTATTGTCTTCATGTTGCCGTGTAGTGTGTTTATGTTTTAACAGTACTTGTCTGTGAGCAATGAAAATTTTACCCCAATCAGCATGTTTGTAATTCCAGTGAGGCAATGGTTTCTGCTCCTGTGAGATATCATTCATATTTACAAGTTCATATTTACAACAAGTTTCACTGGTCACTGCCTGCTAAATGATCTGGTACAATGTGACCATTTATGTGAAGAATGTCTCCTTTGCAGAAAACTAAGTCAGGAGTTTTTACACAATCAAAGAGGCATTAGTTTAGAACACTGAAAACTTACTTAATGGCTGCGGGATGAGATCCGGCTTTCCTTGAGTCTCCGAGATGCTGAAAGTTGTCACCAGTACACACACAACCAGAATTGCGATCATAATTGCGTACATGCTGAGTACTCCAATATGCTGGGGAGAGATGATTGATGCTGCCAGGATCATCAGTTTGAGCAAAGGTTACCTGCAGTCTGTGAGCCAGAGTTTTGCAGTTGGTAGCACCAAATGGTTGCAGGTTAGCACCCCTACTGAGGCAGGTTTTTACAATTATCAGGCCAACTGCAAGCAGTCTGGCAACAAACCACCTTGCTGGATTGGGAAAGCGGCAATAGAAGCAGTGGGGATTTGGAGAATTCTGACTTTTTCTGACAATCTTTTAGTCTATGGGATGGAGTGGGGGGAGGGGGGAATAGAATATAAATATCTAGAGAACTGCAGAACAGGGTAGACAAGGAAGGAAGTGTGTGAGGAAACAGGTTTCATCATCAACTCAGATAAGGCAGCTGTATGGTTGTATTGTCATGTTCATTAAATAATAGAACTGTTAGAGACGAGGTTCCGAACATCACAATAAATGCTAGTAACACTGAAATATCTTGGTATAACTTTTAACAGGAGCCTGTCGTTCAATTACCACATAGAAGAGCTAGTGTTATAAATAAGGAAAGGACTCAGTGTGCTAAAGGTGATGGCATCAGTGGACATGGAACAGAGAGTGTTCTACACACTCGACCAACACTCATTATTTCAGTGATGCAGTATGCTTTGGGCCTGCTTACTTGATCTAACCAAACAGTGAAGCAGGAATGCATACAAAATGAAGCCATGCAAATCATTTTGGGATGTACACAAAACACACCAATTGTTTGTATGCGGAACATATTTGCATTGCCATTCGTATATGAAAGATACAAGGTGTTAGAGCTAAAAATGTACCTTAAAGTTGCAGCAGACAAGCCTGGCATGGGGGGGGGGGGGGCACCAAGGGGTATCAGCTGAAGAGAGGTAGTTCTTGGATGTCACTGGCAGAAGTCACATTTATGTCTGTGCTACCGATATGATAGCGCATAGTGAGGAATAGGTTACAGTACCGCACAGCAAAACAGACTTGCACAAAGTGATAGCTACCTTGGACAGACGGTGCTGGCAATGGATAGCTGGTGAAATTGAGGCATCCGTGCAAGAGCTGAAATAGGAGGCATCGGTGCAAGAGCTGAAACAGGAGGCATCTGTGTAAGAGCTGAAACTGAGGCATCGGTGCAAGAGCTGAAACTGAGGCATCGGTGCAAGAGCTGAAACTGAGGCATCAGTGCAAGAGCTGAAACTGAGGCATTGGTGCAAGAGCTGAAACTGAGGCATCGGTGCAAGAGCTGAAAATGAGGCATCGGTGCAAGAGCTGAAACTGAGGCATTGGTGCAAGAGCTGAAACTGAGGCATCGGTGCAAGAGCTGAAACTGGGGCATTGGTGCAAGAGCTGAAACTGAGGCATCGGTGCAAGAGCTGAAACTGAGGCATCGGTGCAAGAGCTGAAACTGAGGCATCGGTGCAAGAGCTGAAACTGAGGCATTGGTGCAAGAGCTGAAACTGAGGCATCGGTGCAAGAGCTGAAACAGGAGGCATCAGTGCAAGAGCTGAAACTGTGGCATTGGTGCAAGAGCTGAAATGAGGCATTGATGCAAGAGCTGAAACTGAGGCATCATTAAATGCACAGATGGATCTGTAGTGAGAGGTAGAAAGAGTGAGTAGGGTATTATTTCAAAGAAGAAAACAGACAGCTTCATGTATAATGTCACAACATCCAGTATGAGAATGGAGGTGGAGGCAGTAAAGGCAGCTCTGATGGCTGGAGAGCAGCACAGCCCAATATATGGGAATTGTGAAGAACTCGTGAAGCAGGCTTCGGAAAGTAGAAACTGGCGTTCTATGCACAGAGTGGTTTACATCGCTTGATAAGACTCAGATCAGGAACATATGGATTTTCTGTCAAGGATATTCAGGTGTCTGGGGTAATGAACAGGCTGATAGATTGGCTGCTGCAGCTCCTATGTGTGGTCCACAAGGTTACTGCTGGACATGGACACTGTCCCCAAGGTTACTGCTAGACATGGACACTGTCCCCAAGGTTACAGCTGGACATGGACACTGTCCCCAAGGTTACTGCTAGACATGGACACTGTCCCCAAGGTTACAGCTGGACATGGACACTGTCCCCAAGGTTACAGCTGGACATGGACACTGTCCCCAAGGTTACTGCTAGACATGGACACTGTCCCCAAGGTTACAGCTGGACATGGACACTGTCCCCAAGGTTACAGCTGGACATGGACACTGTCCCCAAGGTTACAGCTGGACATGGACACTGTCCACAAGGTTACAGCTGGACATGGACACTGTCCCCAAGGTTACAGCTGGACATGGACACTGTCCCCAAGGTTACTGCTAGACATGGACACTGTCCCCAAGGTTACAGCTAGACATAGACACTGTCCCCAAGGTTACAGCTGGACATGGACACTGTCCCCAAGGTTACAGCTGGACATGGACACTGTCCCCAAGGTTACAGCTGGACATGGACACTGTCCCCAAGGTTACAGCTGGACATGGACACTGTCCACAAGGTTACAGCTGGACATGGACACTGTCCCCAAGGTTACTGCTAGACATGGACACTGTCCCCAAGGTTACAGCTAGACATAGACACTGTCCCCAAGGTTACTGCTGGATATGGACACTGTCCACAAGGTTACAGCTAGACATGGACACTGTCCCCAAGGTTACAGCTAGACATGGACACTGTCCCCAAGGTTACTGCTAGACATGGACACTGTCCCCAAGGTTACAGCTAGACATGGACACTGTCCCCAAGGTTACTGCTAGACATGGACACTGTCCCCAAGGTTACAGCTAGACATAGACACTGTCCCCAAGGTTACAGCTAGACATGGACACTGTCCCCAAGGTTACAGCTAGACATGGACACTGTCCACAATTGGTGAACAAAATGTAACATCAAAGTTGAGATTCTTACAAGACCTGCCAGAGTTATGAGAAGAGATCAAATAAAGACAAAAGACATTTTAAGAAGGCTAGGACTAAAACAAGTCTCATGGTTCATTAAAGTCATCTGACACGAATGTCCAGATACCAGCTGCCACTGCGGACCACACTGAAGAAATATACTGAATACAGAGCTAGGGAAAGACCATGCAGGAGATGGAGTGATAACATAAAGAAGAGTCTCAAAGAAGCAAAGATTAACTAACACAGTGTCTTGGAAACAACTCACAGAAGATCCCTAAATCATCCCTCTAAAACCTCAATTCGGCAACTGGAGAAAGAGAAGATGAAGAAATGTACTTCCAGATTGTGATGACTGCTGTTTACTTACTGTAAAACTGGTCCCTGCTATAGCTCCTGAGACATTTCCCAACAGAATCATTGCTCCCATAACCCCAGAGTTGAAACCTGAAAACAACAGTGTTCATGTTTGAAGTCAGAAGGTGAAGGTTAACACAAGACACAGCAAGGTAAAGGCTAGGAACTTTTCTTTTTTTTTCCTCACAACCTCTTTTACTACTTCAGGTGTCAAGGGAGACATAAGGTTTCGTTTCTTGACCACACACACAATGTTCTGTTGTAGAAGTTATCGTTCTATGTTGTTCTTGTCTACATCGTGTTCTTCATCCATCTATTATGGTGTATGCCTTGTATGTTGTGACATCAGAAGGCATTTTCTCTAAACAGCCGAACCATTTGATTTGTGGTCTTTGAATGTAATTTAGAATTGGTTCTGTGGTTAACTTATGACTTCATTCCTGATTCCATCTCTTCCAGTCACTTCTGCAGCCATTCTCAGACATGTCATTTCTAAGATACGGCCAGAAAATTACGATAATCAGTCAAAGCAACAGCAAAAGATTAATTAGACATTATGTTCAATTTTCATCCCAAGGATTTAACATCTGAACACATGCCTGAACAGGCTTGTGCGTGTCCACACATGCGCACGCACACACACACCACTCACACAGAGCTAGTTAAACACCTAACGGGCAGATAACTGGTGTAAGAAAGTGAACATTTAAGAACCAGAACAAATAACTGAACAGGAACAATACCAGACATGGAAAAGATGAACAGGTACAATACCAGACATGGAATAAATGAACAGGTACAATTCCAGACATGGAATAACTGAACAGGTACAATACCAGACATGGAATAAATGAACAGGTACAATACCAGACATGGAATAAATGAACAGGTACAATACCAGACATGGAATAATTGAACAGGTACAACACCAGACATGGAATAAATGAACAGGTACAATTCCAGACATGGAATAACTGAACAGGTACAATACCAGACATGGAATAATTGAACAGGTACAATACCAGACATGGAATAAATGAACAGGTACAATACCAGACATGGAATAATTGAACAGGTACAACACAAGACATGGAATAAATGAACAGGTACAATTCCAGACATGGAAAAGATGAACAGGTACAATACCAGACTTGGAAAAGATGAACAGGTACAATACCAGACATGGAAAAGATGAACAGGTACAATACCAGACATGGAAAAGATGAACAGGTACAATACCAGACAATGAAAAGATGAATGGGTACAATACCAGACATGGAATAAATGAACAGAAACAATACCAGACATGGAAAAGATGACAGGTACAATATAAGCATGGAAAAGATGAACAGGTACAAAACCAAACATGGAAAAGATGAACAGGTACAATACCAGACATGAAATAAATGAACAGGTACAATACCAGACATGGATTAAATGAACAGGTACAATACCAGACATGGAATAACTGAACAGGTACAATACCAGACATGGAATAAATGAACAGGTACAACACCTGACATGGAATAAATGAACAGGTACAATACCAGACATGGAAAAGATTAACAGTACAATACCAGACATAGAAAAGATGAACAGGTACAATACCAGACAGGGAAAAGATTAATGGTATAATACCAGACATAGAAAAGATTAATGGTATAATACCAGACATGGAAAAGATGAACAGGTACAATACCAGACATGGAAAAGATTAATTTTATAATACCAGACATGGAAAAGATTAATGGTATTATACCAGACATCATGCACATCTCTTCAACATGCACATCTCATAGAATACAGTATTTTTCTTTTTCTTGATGCAAGGTATTCTAGAAATTGCTCTGTAAATTTGAAATTGAAAGCCTCAAGTTTATTCTTTGGTAACTGTAAAATGGTTCATGACTGACATCTGTATACTGTCACAGGAAAATAAAAGGAAGTTATCAGTCTTGACTTTGCAGGTATTGGGCTGTAGTTTCCTTAGGCTGTTTAAACTTTGCCTAACAACAGCGGTAAGATGCCTTAAAATGGTCGCCATATTATCAAGGGGTGATAATATTGAATATGAAGAAACTAAATTTAAAGATGAATAGGGCCTGAAACTAGTCGTACAGTTCCTGAACTCTTTCCCTCCCAAGGAGCTCAACATATGTTTGTAGGTTTCTACCCAGAAGCTCAATGAACACAAGATGCACTGATTTTATGTCTCACTTGACTTCCATCTGGGCCTCTGATGCTAAACTCCCTGGGACAGAAAGAGTTAAAGAATAATAGATGAAATGGTTTGGCCAGTTGGCCAAAACTCCAGGCTAATTGTGTGATATTTTTTTCTTTATTAGACACGTCCATAGTTGGTTGGCTTTTATGTCTCTTGTGTTTTTAGCAAACCCCAACTCTTCCCTTAGTTGATATTTGTGACATACCTGGTATACAACATACCTGGAATACAACATACCTGGAATACAACATGCCTATTATACTACAAACCTGGTATATGATATACCTGGTAAGGTGAAGTGTTATTATTCTGTGCTTTTTAAAAATGTAAAGTAAAGGACCCTTTCTCTTGCCTTTCGAGCGTGTTGGGTATATAGGGCTAGACCTATATTATATAGACCAACAGTACAAGATGGGTGATGTGGTCAGCATCACGCTGGCCACCTTTACTTCCCAGGACTGCACCTGGTACCCATTCAAGGTTGTGTCGACCTAGGAGCCAAGGATATTTTTGAAAAACAAAATCCAGCTCCGCCCGGGAGCGAACCTACGACCTTCCGATCCACAGGCAAGCATCTAGCCGCTACACCATGGCGACTTCTATTCTGTGCTTTTCTACTGAATAAATTACCTGTGGAGCATAAGACATTATTGTATATGCCATGGAAAGAATCAGTTGAACTATTAGTTGGGATTGTGTAGTTTCATATGACAAAAGGCATCAGGAAATGAATGACTGCAGGAAATGAAATAACCTCAGGAAATTGTTGCAGGAAGTGACATCAGGAAGACAGCAGATGGTAAAGGTAGAGTGGATTGTTGCAGGAAGTGACATCATGAAGACAGCAGATGGTAAAGGTAGAGCGGATTGTTGCAGGAAGTGACATCATGTAACAGCAGACCATAAAGGCAGAGTGGATTGCTGCAGGAAGTGACATCATGAATACAGCAGATAGTAGAGGTAGAGTGGATTGTTGCAGGAAATGACATCATGTACACAGCAGACCATAAAGGCAGAGTGGATTGTTGCAGGAAATGACATCATGTACATAGCAGCCCATAAAGGCAGAGTTGATTATTGGCCACTGAAAGAGCTGGGCACTAACATCTCACAGAGGATCAAACCTTACACTTCTGATGAAGCAGCAGGAGGGGGGGAGGGGGCATGCTGCTACACCACGAAGGAGTCAATGCAACAATCAAACACTAATATCACTGCACTCAGGACATTCCCACATGTGATGAGTCTCCTTCATGAGGCCCCACCCTGGCTTTTGTCAGGGGCCCTGAATATAGCTGGGCTATAAATATGGCCTAACCATAGATATGGCCTAATGGCTAAAAAGGGTTTCTGGGACCTCTACACGGGTGATTCTCATCTGCATCATGGCACTTTGTGTCACCGGGTGTTTATCGCTTGTGTGATGTCCTGGTGGGGTACAACTACCAACCAACCATCAGTAGGCAACAAAGAGTCGACACGCAAATAGAAGTACTTGTTGTAATTTGATGAAAAATTCTGCCAAAGTTCTCCCCTCAGTGTAGAACATCTTCCAGAACCTCTGTTCACCCCCCTGGCAATTAATCTTTCAGTCAAAACAGAGATTCTCTGTTCTATTGCACTATCCATTTGCTACCTGACCAACAATACTGATTTGTGAACAACACAGAGTACAACTGCATGAAGTATCCCATCGTACCTAAATTACCGGTCGTCTGAATCTCTTCAGTGGTGTAGCCTGTGTATCTCGGCAACACAACGCCATGAGCATGGGCGGCCATGCTTCCCAACTGGTAGCTCGCTGCGACTTGTGTGGGTGTGTGACTTTTGTTGCTCAGGTAGGGGCGACATCTCCGAGCGACCAGGTCAGTGTCACAGTGTAGCTAGGAAAAAACATATTAGTTAACGCTTGTTAAATGCTTTTATTTACTGCATGTCATATGTACCATCATCTACCATTACATGCCGATTTGTCCTAATTCCTTCTTTGACACTGTTGGTCAACCAAAATGTTCACAAGCCGAAACAATTTTGTTCACACTCATGAAATGAATGCAGATCCAATTAATCTGTTTTTCCCGCTGCAAAAACATGTTTTTTTGTTTGTTTGTTTTTTAAATTTTTTTTTTTTAAATTGACTTGTGTGTGATAAACTTATATAGTGTAAAATATACAGTATAACTTGACTTTTGGAGCTGATTATTGCTGGTACAGTTGGGGGGTGGGGGGGGGTGGGGTGGGGGGGGGGGGGGAAGGCTACCACTTCAAAGGACAGGCTCATTCCATAATAAAATTGAGCAACTGGTATATTTTCTCATGTGCATCATAGTAAGTGGCTTTATTGTTGACTCGGTAGCTAAAAATATGTTTTTTAACTTCTTACAATTGAAACCTTTGCTTTGTTAATATAGTCACTGCATTAGCTATTTCAGCCGTCTTTTAGTGCAACTGTGTTCTTTAAGATAATACAGACCATAGATTTAGCCATGTCATACTCCTTGGCAAGGTAAAACAAAATCAACACCATTCTCATGTTTAGTTATTATTTCCTTCTTCGTTTCTATTGTAATACACTGACTGACTGACTTTCTACCTCACCAAGTTCATCACACAAGCGATAAACACCCGATGACCATGTGGGTGAGGATCACCGTGGAGAGGTCCAGAAACCGCTTTCAGCCTTTAGGCCATATTTATGGCCAAGCTATATTGCGGCCCCCGGCAAAGCCAGAGTAGGGCTTCAAATAACAAAAAATTTCATCCTAAAAAGAACGGGAAGAAGACGCGTAAGTAAAACACTTAGGCTTCTTTACAATCCTGTTACTAACGCTTTTCACTTTCTTGGGAGCCATAAAGAGGGCAAATGAAAAACGCAAAAACAACAACAAAAATGTATTAAGAACAATACAACAAACAATGTTCACAGCGTGAGGTGAATACAAGGCTCCAAAACCTTGTTTGTGCCTCTATGGGAAAAAAGCATTGTTCATGAGTCGAGTCAATATTTGTTCAGAAATTGTTGGTCGTGGTGGACTGATTTGCCTGTGGCTGGGGACATTTACCCGAGGTAACACTGCATAAGAATCACACACAAACAAAAAAAAAGACTGTATTTTAAAGGTGAAATTTGTTTTGGAATGGATTATTCAACAGACAGTTAAACAGCAGCAGTGTAACAGCAGCAGTGTAACAGGGCCCGGGCAAACCTTCTCCTTTTTGTGATCCCTGCACAGATGGAACCAAAAGTCTGATTAATGCTCTGTGGATCACCATAGTCTTCACTGTCGTAGAGTTCTCAGCAGGGAACAAGAACTCTGTTACATATTGGACAGTTTCCATGGCAACAATGCTTTAATATGTGCCTGCTGGAGTCAAACTGGCAGTAGTAATCCTACTGCAAGAACATAAAACACCAGGGCAGGTGTCTGCTCTCTTGACAGTACCTACCTGGTCAGTCTGAATGTGGGACACTGATGATGTGTCATCTCCCCCGCTGGAGTTGTACTCCTGGCTGAGAGAACTGATGTTGATCCTCATATTTCTGTGGCTAGATTGTGAATATATACAACAGGAGATGAGATGCTGTGGGGGAGATGTGAATATACAAGAGAAGAGATGAGAGGGTGTGGGCATGATGTGAATATACAAGACAGAGATGAGATGGTGTGGGTGGGATGTAAATATACAAGAGGAGAAATAAGAGAGTGAGCGTGAGTTGTGAATATACAAGAAAAGGGAAGAGTTGGTATAGGGAAAGGGTGGGGGGGGGGGGGAGGCTGTGAATAAACAAGACAGGAGATGAAAGAATGTGGCTGAGTTGTAGATGTACATGAGGGAAAATGAGAGGATGTGGGTGAGTTGTGGAGCTGCAAGATGGGAAATGAGAAAATGTGTGTGGGTTGTGGAGATGAGAGGATATGTGTTGGTTGTGGAGATGAGAGGCTGTGTGTGGGTTTATCAGAGAGTATCATGCTGGAACATTCAGGGGAAGAGAACAAGCAACTGGAATAAGACAGAGATGTGGAGACTACACAGGGGTCTAGTTGTCGCAAGGGTTATGTTTGTATGCAGGTGTGATGTACACATGTAATGTGTGTGTGTGTACAGGAATGTTTTTGTACATCTATGAGTGTTTACAGGTATGACGTATGTGTACCGGTGTATTTTTGTACAGGTGTATTTTTGTACAGGTATATTTGTGTACAGGTGTGTTTGTGTACAGGTGTGTTTGTAATGAGGCATGATGACTGATTAAAAATATAATTTCTGCGTACACAAATCTGTATATGATGCAGGTACATGATGAGCATGTATATGGTGCTTGTGTCTATGTGGTGCTCGTGTGTATGTAGTGCTCATGTGTATGTGGTGCTCATGTGTATGTGGTGCTCGTGTGTATGTGGTGCTTGTGTGTATGTGGTGCTCGTGTGTATGTGGTGCTCGTGTGTATGTGGTGCTCGTGTGTATGTGGTACTTGTTTGTATGTGGTGCTTGTGTGCTGTGTATGTGGTGCTTGTGTGTATGTGGTGCTTGTGTGTATGTGGTGCTTGTGTGTATGTGGTGCTTGTGTGTATGTGGTGCTTGTGTGTATGTGGTGCTTGTGTGTATGTCGTGACTGCAACTAGAGACTATGCAGCAGTGTGGTTTCCAGTCCTTATATCATCATCATCATGTACCACTTTGATAAGTGTAGGCTATCATTCTGGTACTGTGCCTTGCCCCTGCTCTCTGTCCATCAGTTCTGCCAGGTGTTAGCAAGCTCATTTCTTCTCATAACATTTGTGACAAACACTGACTGTCTAAACTTTCATAATCAGTTTGTGACTTTTGGTAATATTCTTTTAGTTCACCCTATCTCAGGGAATCCAAGAGTTCCCAATGAAAGTCCAATATCACAGCGATAGGGTTAGAGCTAGTCAGTGCTCATTTTGAACCCTAAGACCCCTTCCTGCTTTACTGGACTTTCCCCGGGAACTCCTCAGCAGCTCCTGGGCAGATAGTTTGCTTTTCAGTCATTTCATAATATTCTTTGGATTCTTCTCCAAATGTCACATCTCCGCTGCCAGTCAATGTTCTCAGCTTGTCTTTGTGTTTTGTGTCTAAATATATCAATGCACATAATCAGACAAACTGGCACATTTGGGAACTCACGTGCTAATTTCTGGAGCACTGACGGCCATGCCCAGGAGGCCACCGCTGTGGGAGGCAAAAACACAGATGAGGTCAGACAAGCTGGCAGCTCCAACTCACTTTTCTTGCCTGATGATGTCTTTTTTTTAAAATTAATTCTGCCTGTCTGACAGTGTCTGCTTGTCTCTGCCGTAATCTAACTGTAAATGTCTGCCTTTGCTTCCAGTGTCAGTTCCAGGGTTCCATTTTGGGGAAAGGGGGAAACAGATTGACTGCACCCCTAACAAGCATGTCGTAGAAGATGACTAATTAGGAGTCTTTCATTCTAAGTCCATCTGACAAAGAAGTAAAAAACCAACAGTCTGCATACGAATAAGCAAGATCTGTATAATGTATGTGCATGCAAAACTCAGGTTCTGGGACAAGACTAAAGGGGATGAACAACCAGAACTTTCCACCTGAGTTTAAAACACCAATGTCTCCATTCTCTCTCTCTCTCTCTCTCTCTCTCTCTCTCTCTCTCTCTCTCTCTCTCTCTCTCTCTCTCTCTCTCTCTCTCTCGATTTAAATGTCTGCGGTCTTAATAAATTTAACACCTAGCTTTCTCTTAATGTCTGCCTACATATGTATGCCTGTGTGTCTTATAATTATGCCAATGTAATTCTGTTAGGGGGGGGGGGAGAGAGAGAGAAAGAGAGAAAGAGAGAGAGAGAGAGAGAGAGAGAGAGAGAGAGAGCGAGGGAGAGAGAGAGAGCACAGAACATCAGCGATTCGGTTGTCAAAGACCAGAATGCAATCTTTCACCTCACTTCGTTAAATTCATTTCCGGTCCATTTCTATTTCACAATTGTAGGTTTTTGAGATGTGGTTTCCTTATCTGTCCTGACTCCGTTAGCTAAATCAATAGCGTTGCTAGCTGGGTCGGCGACGACCACGTTTCCCCCACAGAGTGCAGAAAGCGTTCCTAATATGTGTGTCTATTTCTGGAAGTCCCCTGATGTACAGACGGGACAAGAATGATTACTGTATTCGGTTATGTTGGTTCCCATCACAGACTAAGGGCCTATAAGTAGCAGGCTAGATTAATTTGAAAAGTCAGATCCGTCCAATCTCCAGCCTCGTCAGAATAACGGCACGCACGATACCGTGATAACAGACAGACTACTTCCCTCTCTGATGATGGGGCTAATCCAGTCTGTCTGTCCGTCTGTCTGTCGCAGACTACGTTCAAGTCAACTCTATTTTTTTCGTGTTCTTCTTAAGTCTTCCCCTCTTGTATCTGACAGCCGCCGTGAAGTAGCGGCTCGACGCTTGCCTGCGGATCGGAAGTTCATGAGTTCAAGTCCTGTCGGAGGTGGACTTATTTCAGAAATGACCTTGGCTCCCGGTCGACCAAGCCTTTAATGGGTACCAGGACTGGGAAGTGAAGGCGGCCGGCATGATACTGACCACATCACCCACCGAGTGCTCACTGATCTATAAAACATGGGTCGGGCCCTATATGCCTAATATACCTGAAGGCGTATTTGGGATCAACTAAAGATTGCGAATTTGGGCTGGTCTAGCTGAGTGTGTATGAAAACATTGTTAACTCCTTGAAACGTGGACTTTCCCAATGTTCCCCTTAACTTTGCCCAGTGGATGGGTCTTTTGACCTCTGCGTTTGAGAACGAGAATGGGTCATGGACCAGAAGTGAAGTCTAAACGTTTTTGACGCCCGATCACATATGGACTTGGTGGTGGTGGTGGTGGGGAAAGGCAGGGGGGGGGGGGGGAGCTCGCTTATCTGAGGTCGCTAAATAAGAGAAAGATAAACATTATATCTAATCTCAACCCCGCCCCTCCCCGTTGGTTCTCTGACATGTTACGAGAAGTACAGTCGAGAACTTGGCGACGCCTGGCAAGACTGGTCGAGACAGAGCCAAGGGAAAGGCAAAGAGATGTATATGTCGATGGTTTGTTCGTGTGGGTAGAGCGAGATGAGAACACTGACTTGATCTTGATGCTGGCTTCTCGTATTATTAAAGTGACTATTCTTGTGATGATTATACCCATCCCTGTAGATTCATTTGTATTTTAGTGTCTACATGTCTACCAGTTTAGACATTCTGTGTCTGAGTGTTTGTCTGTGTAGTTACTATGCCTGTCCGTCTGTGGATCTGCTTATCTGTCTAATTACCCATTTGTCTGAGTCTAATTCGATTTTGCGGCGTCCGCTGCTTAGGCGTTGGGAGTCCGACTCGTAATTCCAACGTACCGCGATCGAAACCCACTGCTGGCTGCGTGGATTTTTATCGTAGTATAATACAGTTCCTCATTTTGTTTTGACAGTACAACAAACAAGAGAGGCGACAGTACAACAGACAAGAGAGGCGACAGTACAACAGACAAGAGAGGCGACAGTACAACAGACAAGAGAGGCGACAGTACAACAGACAAGATAGGCGACAGTACAATAGACAAGAGAGGCGACAGTACAACAGACAAGAGAGGCGACAGTACAACAGACAAGAGAGGCGACAGTACAACAGACAAGAGAGGCGACAGTACAACAGACAAGAGAGGCGACAGTACAACAGACAAGAGAGGCGACAGTACAACAGACAAGAGAGGCGACAGTGCAACAGACAAGAGAGGCGACAGTACAACAGACAAGAGAGGTGACAGTACAACAGACAAGAGAGGCGACAGTACAACAGACAAGAGAGGCGACAGTACAACAGACAAGAGAGGCGACAGTACAACATACAAAAGAGGCGACAGTACAACAGACAGAAGAGGCAACAGTACAACAGACAGGAGAGGCGACAGTACAACAGACAAGAGAGGTGACAGTACAACAGAGGAGAGGCGACAGTACAACAGACAAGAGAGGTGACACTACATCAGAGGAGAGGCGACAGTACAACAGACAAGAGAGGCGACAGTACAACAGAGGAGAGGTGACAGTACAACAGACAAGAGAGGCGACAGTACAACAGACAAAAGAGGTGACAGTACAACAGACAAGAGAGGTGACAGTACAACAGAGGAGAGGCGACAGTACAACAGACAAGAGAGGCGACAGTACAACAGACAAAAGAGGTGACAGTACAACAGACAAGAGAGGTGACAGTACAACAGAGGAGAGGCGACAGTACAACAGACAAGAGAGGTGACAGTACAACAGACAAGAGAGGTGACAGTACAACAGACAAGAGAGGTGACAGTACAACAGAGGAGAGGCGACAGTACAACAGACAAGAGAGGTGACAGTACAACAGAGAAGAGGCGACCGCACAACAGAGGAGAGGCGACAGTACAACATACAAGAGAGGCGACAGTACAACAGAGGAGAGGCGACAGTACAACAGACAAGAGAGGTGACAGTACAACAGACAAGAGAGGTGACAGTACAACAGAGGAGAGGCGACAGTACAACAGACAAGAGAGGCGACAGTACAACAAACAAGAGAGGTGACAGTACAACAGAGGAGAGGCGACAGTACAACAGACAAGAGAGGTGACAGTACAACAGAGGAGAGGCGATAGTACAACAGACAAGAGAGGTGACAGTACAACAGACAAGAGAGGTGACAGTACAACAGACAAGAGGGGCGACAGTACAACAGACAAGAGAGGCGACAGTACAACAGACAAGAGAGGTGACAGTACAACAGAGAAGAGGCGACAGCACAACAGAGGAGAGGCGACAGTACAACATACAAGAGAGGCGACAGTACAACAGAGGAGAGGCGACAGTACAACAGACAAGAGAGGTGACAGTACAACAGACAAGAGAGGTGACAGTACAACAGAGGAGAGGCGACAGTACAACAGACAAGAGAGGCGACAGTACAACAAACAAGAGAGGTGACAGTACAACAGAGGAGAGGCGACAGTACAACAGACAAGAGAGGCGACAGTACAACAGACAAGAGAGACGACAGCACAACAGACAAGAGAGGTGACAGTACAACAGAGGAGAGGCGACAGTACAACAGACAAGAGAGGCGACAGTACAACAGACAAGAGAGGTGACAGTACAACAGACAAGAGAGGTGACAGTACAACAGACAAGAGAGGTGACAGTACAACAGACAAGAGAGGTGACAGTACAACAGACAAGAGAGGCGACAGTACAACAGACAAGAGAGGCGACAGTACAACAAACAAGAGAGGTGACAGTACAACAGAGGAGAGGCGACAGTACAACAGACAAGAGAGGTGACAGTACAACAGAGGAGAGGCGACAGTACAACAGACAAGAGAGGTGACAGTACAACAGACAAGAGAGGTGACAGTACAACAGATAAGAGAGGCGACAGTACAACAGACAAGAGAGGCGACAGTACAACAGACAAGAGAGGTGACAGTACAACAGAGGAGAGGCGAAAGTACAACAGACAAGAGGGGCGACAGTACAACAGACAAGAGAGGTGACAGTACAACAGAGGAGAGGCGACAGTACAACAGACAAGAGAGGCGACAGTACAACAGACAAGAGAGACGACAGCACAACAGACAAGAGAGGCGACAGTACAACAGACAAGAGAGGTGACAGTACAACAGACAAGAGAGGCGACAGTACAACAGACAAGAGAGGCGACAGTACAACAGACAAGAGAGGTGACAGTACAACAGAGGAGAGGCGAAAGTACAACAGACAAGAGAGGCGACAGTACAACAGACAAGAGAGGTGACAGTACAACAGAGGAGAGGCGACAGTACAACAGACAAGAGAGGCGACAGCACAACAGACAAGAGAGGCGACAGCATAAGAGACAGGAGAGGCCACAGTACAAGAGACAGGAGAGGCGACTGGACGTACAATAGTCTTGTCAACCAGCATATCTGGCACATGTAACGAAGGGATGATACTGTTTACGTTGAAAGGGGAATATGAGCACACTTGGACGTGTCTGGAGTCCCATGAAGATAATGCAAGTCATAACTCACACAAGACACTTACCACAGGAGGGCTGTGCCCACGAGCATGATGGGCCGGCGTTTGCCCATGCGAGAGGAGATCCGATCACTCAGCATGCCTATCAGAGGACTCACCAGGAAGGTCACAGCTGTGGAGGGATCAAGTTCACATAGGTGAAGGAAAACAGGCTGGTCCATGTGATGCTGTAGGACACGGGGGAGGGGGTTTCATACCATTACTAAGCGTGGCGTAAAGGTGACTAATTACTTATGCCTTTGAAGCTGGAGCGAATCTGGAGAAGGGTAAGGAACCAACAGTTTGCATTCAAATAAGCCAGATCTGTAAAACGTATACGCAAGCAAAACTCAATTTCTGGAACAAGATGGAAGTTCAAAGAATTCAAAGAATCTGAAAGTAGCGCCGATGTGAACGCGAAAAAGAAGATCAAAGGAGAGGTCCTGGTGACCGAAGTAATGCACACAATATCTACGGGTAACTGTTACTGTGTTCACAGTCCCGCCATTACCAAGAGAGATGGCAAAAGGTTTCCCTGTCGCACACCTGTCCCTATTTAAAACTTATCTCAGTTTTCCCTAACAAAAAATTCGCAATTATAAAAACAAAACAAAAAGGACTGGAAAACTGTCCAGTACGTATCTGTATCATGATGGGTAGGTTCATGGTTGACAAGACTCAGCAACTTGGTGGGGGGGGGCTATGGTTGTGTATGGATGGCACAACTAGAAATATTTTAATAGGCACAGGATCTGGAGGAAGATCAAGTCTGTGTGTGTGTGTGATGTGTGTAAGGTGTGTGTGTGTGATGTGTGTAAGGTGTGTGATGTGTGTAAGGTTTGTGATGTGTGTAAAGTGAGTGTGTAATGTATGTAAGGTGTGTGATGTGTGTAAGGTGTGTGTGTGTGTGATGTGTGTAAGGAGAGTGTGTAATGTGTGTAAAGTGTGTGATGTGTGTAAGGTGTGTGTGTGTGATGTGTGTAAGGTGAGTGTATGATGTATGTAAGGTGAGTGTGTAATGTGTGTAAGGTGTGTGTGATGTATGTAAGGTGTGTGATGTGTGTAAGGTGTGTGTATGTGTGTGATGTGTGTAAGGTTTGTGATGTGTGTAAGGGGAGAGTGTGCTGTGTGTAAGGTGTGTGTGTGCTGTGTGTAAGGTATGTTTGTGATGTTTGTAAAGTGTGTGTGTGATGTGTGTAAAGTTTGTGTCTGTGATGTGTGTAAAGTGTGTGTGTGATGTGTGTAAGGTTTGTGATGTGTGTAAGGTAAATGTGTGTGCTGTGTGTAATGTGCGTGATGTGTGTAAAATATGTGTGTGCTGTGTGTAAGGTGTGTATGTGCGGTGTGTAAGGTGTGTGTGTGATGTGTGTAAGGTGTGTGTGTGTAAAGTGTGTGTGTGTTGTGTAAGGTGTGTGTGTGTGTTGTGTGTAAGGTGTGTGTGTGATGTGTGTAGGGTGAGTATGTGCTGTGTGTAAGGTGTGTGTGTGATGTGTATAAAGTGTGTGTGTGATGTGTGTAAGGTGTGTGTGTGTAAGGTGTGTGTGTGATGTGTGTAAAGTGTGTGTGTGATTTGTGTAAGGTGTGTGTCTGATGTGTGTAAAGTGTGTGTGTAAGGTGTGTATATGTATAAGGTGAGTTTGTAAAGTGTGTGTATGTGTCAGATATGTGTAAGGTGAGTTTGTAATGTGTGTAAGGTGTGTGTGTGTTATGTGTGTAAGTTGTGTGGGATTTGTGTAAGAGAAAGGTTAAACACACCGCTACCTGTATGGATGCACCCATAGACTCACCTGCCCCTCCGGCCACCAATGCTCCCATTGTCCTGCCCTTGTGAGTCCCGCCGACCAACTTCTCCACCTGGGCGGGAACAACTGTGGACAAAGGCACACCTTCATTGGCTGCACGTGTCGGGTTCAAGGCTGATTATCAAGTGTCATGGCAGATCATCTGCTGTTTTTCATTAGCACAATGGAATCAATCAACCGTATATCTTCTGTAAATGTTTGTGATACCAGACCGAGCAAGCCCGTCGCATGTGTTTAGACAAAGACGTGCGTGTGTGTTGTTTTTGTTTGACAAATACTCAGTTATTACAAATACACAGAGACCACGACTGCATGCGTATTGTGTCTATATTTAGACAGGTATGTAGACGAATTATCAGACAGATAGATAAGCAGGGGTATAGCTAGAAATATAGGCTGATAGAGGTAAATTTATAAAGACAAACAATCCATACAAGCTGGCAGACTGCTATACAAGCGGACACACGTATAGACAGACAGACAGACAGACAGACAGACAGACAGACAGACAGACAGACAGACACTAATGCAACGATTTCTAAAGTAATCACATCCGTATGTCCAGCTGTCTTTCAGTCCGTCATTCTGCCCGTCTTGGAATTCATACGTACCTGTCTGTTTTTCTTAGCCGTATTTATGTGTAAATGTGTTTGTGCCTATCCAAGACCTTCTGTGGGATATCCTTTAGAAGGCCTTGATCTACCCGTCTATGAATATATCTGTCTCCTGTCAATATGGAGGATAGACAGGTTTACCGTTTGTAGTCGTAGAAAATGTTGCTTGTGGCAAATGTTGGCACATGCATTTTCCTCCATATGTACACTGAAAGGATATAGTTTCGTCGCCCAGCTATTGAGTAGCCTGCTGACGTGTCAGTGTGAGCAGCTGATTAATTTGGAGTGTTTTTTGACTGTGACAAACGTGATTTGTCATGTTAACCGTAGATTCAGAATCTGGCGAGTGGCCCGTCGCCACAGAACTGTTAGTACCGTATGTCCTTAATGGCGTCTGTAACTACTGGTCTGTTATAGCTGCTGCTTCCATCGACCATGAACTAACTGTATTTCTAGTGTCAGACTGTTAGTTTTGGCACTTCTGACGGCTGCTTTGTGTATTTAATTCGTGTGTATGTTACTGGACTGCTGTGACTGCAGTCTATATCAATGTGTCCACAAAGCACAGCGATGGACATTCTGTGTGGTTCTCGCTGGCACAGGCACGGAGCAATTACAAGTGACCCGTCTGCTACAGGCTTGGACCTGCGACCACCTGATAACCATATATCTCTGTGGGGGGGGGGGGGGCTGCGTGGTCTCGAGGCATAGTGTCCACCTCGAGAGGGCTGGAGGTATCGGGTCAATCCCCAGTAAGGGATGGGATTTTTTCCCACATGGACTTGGACTTCTAGTAATCCCCCCTGGTCTCAGGGTAGTGAGCTTCGGACGCCTGTGTGAATCGTTGCGCGCGTAAAAACATCCCTTGGCAGTTGGAAATCGCAAAGAGTAGCCTACCGGTGCTTCCCGGAAAAAAACGTTGGAGTTTAAAATCTACCAAAAGTATTTCAGGATCCCCGCCGGTGCTACAAAGACTGTGCTCTGTGCTGAGCTTCTTAGGACTCAGACTACCTGTGTGCCATGAAGTTGTTCCTTTGTTCGAATTTAAAAGTTCAAAGTTTATATATCTGTCTCTGTTTCCATCTGTCTGATAGTATCTCGGCAAGTCTGTCAGCTTGTCCACATACATATGTGCCTATATGTCTGATGGTATCTCTCTCCCTGACTGTCAGCTTGTCCCCATACATATGTGCCTATATGTCTGATGTTATCTCTCTCCCTGACTGTCAGCTTGTCCCCATACATATGTGCCTATATGTCTGATGGTATCTCTCTCCCTGACTGTCAGCTTGTCCCCATACATATGTGCCTATATGTCTGATGGTATCTCTCTCCCTGACTGTCAGCTTGTCCCCATACATATGTGCCTATATGTCTGATGTTATCTCTCTCCCTGACTGTCAGCTTGTCCCCATACATATGTGCCTATATGTCTGATGGTATCTCTCTCCCTGACTGTCAGCTTGTCCCCATACATATGTGCCTATATGTCTGATGTTATCTCTCTCCCTGACTGTCAGCTTGTCCCCATACATATGTGCCTATATGTCTGATGTATATCTCTCTCCCTGACTGTCAGCTTGTCCCCATACATATGTGCCTATATGTCTGATGGTATCTCTCTCCCTAACTGTCAGCTTGTCCACATACATGTGTGCCTATATGTCTGATGTTATCTCTCTCCCTGACTGTCAGCTTGTCCACATACATATGTGCCTATATGTCTGATGGTATCTCTCTCTGACTGTCAGCTTGTCCACATACATATGTGCCTATATGTCTGATGGTATCTCTCTCTGACTGTCAGCTTGTCCACATACATATGTGCCTATATGTCTGATGGTATCTCTCTCTGACTGTCAGCTTGTCCACATACATATGTGCCTATATGTCTGATGGTATCTCTCTCTGACTGTCAGCTTGTCCACATACATGTGTGCCTATATGTCTGATGTTATCTCTCTCCCTGACTGTCAGCTTGTCCACATACATGTGTGCCTATATGTCTGATGTTATCTCTCTCCCTGACTGTCAGCTTGTCCCCATACATATGTGCCTATATGTCTGATGGTATCTCTCTCCCTGACTGTCAGCTTGTCCCCATACATATGTGCCTATATGTCTGATGGTATCTCTCTCCCTGACTGTCAGCTTGTCCCCATACATATGTGCCTATATGTCTGATGTTATCTCTCTCCCTGACTGTCAGCTTGTCCCCATACATATGTGCCTATATGTCTGATGGTATCTCTCTCCCTGACTGTCAGCTTGTCCCCATACATATGTGCCTATATGTCTGATGTTATCTCTCTCCCTGACTGTCAGCTTGTCCCCATACATATGTGCCTATATGTCTGATGGTATCTCTCTCCCTGACTGTCAGCTTGTCCCCATACATATGTGCCTATATGTCTGATGGTATCTCTCTCCCTAACTGTCAGCTTGTCCACATACATGTGTGCCTATATGTCTGATGTTATCTCTCTCCCTGACTGTCAGCTTGTCCACATACATATGTGCCTATATGTCTGATGGTATCTCTCTCTGACTGTCAGCTTGTCCACATACATATGTGCCTATATGTCTGATGGTATCTCTCTCTGACTGTCAGCTTGTCCACATACATATGTGCCTATATGTCTGATGGTATCTCTCTCTGACTGTCAGCTTGTCCACATACATATGTGCCTATATGTCTGATGGTATCTCTCTCTCTGACTGTCAGCTTGTCCACATACATGTGTGCCTATATGTCTGATGTTATCTCTCTCCCTGACTGTCAGCTTGTCCACATACATGTGTGCCTATATGTCTGATGTTATCTCTCTCCATGACTGTCAGCTTGTCCACATACATGTGTGCCTATATGTCTGATGTTATCTCTCTCCCTGACTGTCAGCTTGTCCACATACATGTGTGCCTATATGTCTGATGTTATCTCTCTCCCTGACTCTCAGCTTGTCCACATACATATGTGCATATATGTCTGATGTTATCTCTCTCCCTGACTGTCAGCTTGTCCACATACATATGTGCCTATATGTCTGATGATATCTCTCTCTGACTATCAGCTTGTCCACATACATGTGTGCCTATATGTCTGATGTTATCTCTCTCCCTGACTGTCAGCTTGTCCCCATACATGTGTGCCTATATGTCTGATGTTATCTCTCTCCCTGACTGTCAGCTTGTCCACATACATGTGTGCCTATATGTCTGATGGTATCTCTCTCCCTGACTCTCAGCTTGTCCACATACATGTGTGCCTATATGTCTGATGTTATCTCTCTCCCTGACTGTCAGCTTGTCCACATACATGTGTGCCTATATGTCTGATGGTATCTCTCTCCCTGACTGTCAGCTTGTCCACATACATGTGTGCCTATATGTCTGATGGTATCTCTCTCCCTGACTATCAGCTTGTCCACATACATATGTGCCTATATGTCTGATGTTATCTCTCTCCCTGACTCTCAGCTTGTCCACATACATATGTGCCTATATGTCTGATGGTATCTCCCATGCTTTTGTGCTTTTTTTTTCCTTCTCTTTTTTGATATTCATAATATGCATATTATCATATAAATATTACATACTTATTAATAAAATACAGCTGCAGTGTGAAAGATGAGTGTTTGTAAGGGCCGAATGTAAGACGGGCCTGCGTGCCCAATTTGTAACCCTTTGAAAATAATGTTCGTTCGTTCGTTCTCTCCCTACATGTGTGCCTATCGGTCTGATGGTATCTCTCTACCTGACTGTCAGCTTGTCCACATACACATGTGCCTATATGTCTGATGGTATCTCTCTCCCTGACTGTCAGCTTGTCCACATACATGTGTGCCTCTATGTCTGATGTTATCTCTCTCCCTGACTGTCAGCTTGTCCACATACACGTCTGCCTTTATGTCTGATGGTATCTCTCTCCCTGACTGTCAGCTCGTCCACATACATGTGTGCCTAAATGTCTGATGGTATCTCTCTCCCTGTCTGTCAGCTTGTCCACATACATGTGTTCCTAAATGTCTTATGGTATCTCTTTCCCTGACTGTCAGCTTGTCCACATACTTGTGTGCTTATCTTTTAGACTAAATACATTTCTGACTGCCCGTCTATCTTCCTATCTGTCTATAGTAATTTTTATTTCTGTGCATTTCTATGCACTGTTTATGTTGTTACAAATGTCTGTTTTCTGTCCGTGTAAACGCCCTACTGTCGAGTACACCTGCCTATTGTACTAGAAGCAAAGCAGGAGGTATTTTGTGATGGAGGAAAGAGAAGAGATAACTTTAAAGGATAATATGGAAACCTACTCCTTGAAATCTCCTCGAGTCCGAACCTACAAGAGTTCTAACAATGTGACGAGGCGAGTGGGAGCCAAAACCCAAGCTTAAGCTGCCTCAGTAACAAGAAAAAAAAAGAGAGAAAAAGTTCGTTTAGGCGTGGGTAAGATCAAAAGTATCTCACCCTGACAGGAAATCTTTTGTGTAAAGACTAGATCAGCTAAGCAAAAGATACTAAACAAGGCACGCTAGCTACGTCTTAATCTGAACGAAAAACAACTGGACCTATGATTACTACATTGAACATCTGTTTATTTCACTTAACATAAAATCAGCGTAGTCCACAAATAACATTACCAACAAACGTGCTTGACCAGAATCACAACCTTAAGTGCTAATCATCTCCAGCTAACAAGGAACTCTGGTAATAACACCATGCACTCAGCGAGATTACCTCTACAATGGCAAAACCGAAACATATTTAACACATACTTGAAGCTTCAATATGCAAACAAATCACTTATAGCGACCTGCCATCAAGCTATCTCCAAGCGAAGATATATAATGGAAATCAAATCTAATACTACCTAACCCATTGAAACGTACCTGGGAAATCAGCCAGGGAAATCAGACAAACAACCGGTCTTCCCCTGCAGTCGCCCGTACTCATGCTGTCTCGCCCAATGTGTCTAGTCATTGAAGTGTCTGAATAAAATCTCCCCCCCCCCCCA